AAAACCAAGTATTTCATGCAATTTCGGAATGAGCAAAATTTTCAATTTGGGAACCCAGATTGAAGGACTGTATTCAACAAAATTTTACCGGAATTACTAAGATAGGAATATCTGCACACCATTGTCTATTGGCGGAAACCCACCAATTATTTCCGAACGTTGGCTAACAATTTCTGCATATTACTTCCTCATTTTTAAACCTACATGTATGAGCAATTACCTGCTATGTCATCGTTTTGCAGACCAATTAAACCAGGACAAATTTACAAAACTAAGTGGCACGTGGTGGTCGATGAGCTCTGGCATAACAAATGCTGTATTAAGATATTCTCCAATGAGATATAATGAGATTTGATCAGATCTGCCATTTAAAAAAAAGTGTGAAAAAATCAGTTAAAGTGCATTGGATATTTAAGCGGTCGCAAAGTAGAATCGGGTAGGTAGTGTACTGAATAAAATGATAATAGGAATAATCGTTCAGCCCTGACGACTCTTCGGTGGCTAGTTGTCATGTCACCATAAAGAAGTGCGAAGGCTGAAATACTAGCAGGTTGCCCAACCCTAGACAGGAGTAGTGGAGGTACTGCTACTGGGTTCGAACCAAGTGCATTTCGGATGTAAGTTCGCATCTCAATCACTCAGCTATCTGAAGATTAAATTTATTACATGTTCACCAATTTAGGTGGCTAGTGACAAGACGACGTTTGCTTGCCCCATTCGCGTGCAACTCGGATATTGCTCATGATTGCATATATCTTTGCAGAAAATTTCAATGTCACTGTGGTTGTTCATTCCGATACACTTATTTTCAAAAATGGCTTGTTAGTACAGTTTTCTAGGTTTCATCACTTCCACGTAAATAGACATTGATGCAGAACAATTACTGTTTTATTGATTCACGCTACCTTCCGTTCAGGGATACTGGACCATTTATAACGTTACTGCACGGCGTTGTCATGGCAGCAAAACAACCATATCTTTATGCTCTATCCACGAAGTTCATTGAAGTCGGCACGGGAAGCGCGTTTGAGATGTCAGCTGCACAGATAAATAAACCACTTCAAGTAGTTGACTAAAATTGAGATCAGTATGCACTGAAAGATGCCGAAGCGTAATGAATTTGTAGTTTCAGTTTCAACTGAAGCTGATAAAAGCTACACTGCAAACTGAACTGTTCCTGTATGTGGATCGTCTTTGCATCGACATGAAGACGTCAGTCACCTTGCTGGCACAAACCTAAATAGCCTTCCTCAGTAAAAATGATCGCTCAACCGAGAGGTATGCGCGCCTATTGAAGACAGAAGAAAACTGTACATAGGAGGATGCAATAAATTCGAAATGAAAAACATGACTGCTGAGATAGTTTCCTTGCGCCCGTTACACATCATGCAGCTGATAAAGGATTTCATTCTGACTGCGTTCCTAGCGTATAGTTCTGTTGTTATACTAGGATCGCATTCAAATCCAGTTTACTAAGTATTCTTTTAAGTAACTTAGCCATTTCTGTGGAATCATATTTGCTGCCATTGAAATAGACCTCTCTGAATGAAAAAGTCAGAAAAAAACTGATGACGCCCATATCCTTAATCCGGATATTGTAATAAACCTTTGAGATTCATAATGTCCATTGATGTAGTAATACGTCCAAATCGGCTCACTGCCATTTTTCACTTTGCTTCTGCACTGCTAGTGAGTTGTTCATTTGCATCGATCAAAGACCATCAGCCTAGGCGAACAGGATTAGTCGAAGTCCTTCGCATATTGCTTTTTCTTCAGGTGTTTAAACTAGGAAGGACTGGAAAAATTGATAGCGGACAAAGTGCCCGTTTGTGTAAAAAAGATCGCCTTTGAACTGGCCACTTCAGTAGTCAGAACAGAATCATACCGAACAGATGGACGATGAAGTAGGATATATCTACTTTAGCTGCGTCTAACAGGTACATACTTGGTATAATTAGACAACTGAAAATCGTTGCCTCCCGTTCCAGTGAGTGTATGAGGGGGAGGTATTTACGGTTATGAAGCGCAGGTATTCCAGACGGTTGGCATTACCTAGCATACATCACTGCATTGAAATACCTCAACTTTTATGTGCTCGTAGCATTTTTGGCAAATATTCATGCTCCTTTCCCTCAGCTGATTAACTGTGGCTACAATTGTGCCCGCGAACAGTCACTTCTGTCGACATTACAAAGTCCTGTTACATGTAATGCTCATACTAAAAATATAACAGGTTCGTCGGTAGACTAAGCAACTCTCGTTTGAATCTTTATAAACCTGCCGGCTAGTGGTTGACATAGAAGCCGGCATGTAACAAGTGGGGTGCACGCACTATTCGTTGAATGCACGCTTCTCGGGCAGCGTTTTAACAGATATGATTTTGGAGAGTTCCCATCAACCTGAAATATCATTTTTCTATCGGAACAAGGTGGAAAATTCGGAGCACATGAGGGCCAATATTTCGTGGCTGCACGACCTAGGATGTAAATTTATATGGACAAGATCTACAGGAACTTTGGCTTCACAAGTTATAATGTCTGTATAAGGTAAAAACTACCCTAGAAATCTCTGTCAGCGGAAATTCACTTTTTAGATGAGCAACATGATTCTCGCTTTCTGGTTTATAATAGAAAGCATTTTTGCTGAGGTCTTTCAGTTTTCTGTTTGCTAAGATGATAAGTTATTGAGAGGAATATGGGACAAGAGCTTTATATATATATCAACAGGGTAGTGAAATTAGGGTCAAAAATGATTCCAACAGTTGGATGCGACAGGGCTGAACTGCCGTTGATCAAAGTCGAATGTTTTTGCGTACTCGTTTGGCGATACTTAATAGCGTTTGAAGGAGACCTAGAAGAGTGCAGATATTTTTCAGTGAGGCAATTCATTGGGCGGGCGCCAGTTCCTGTTAGATATAGGGTTGTCTCTTCGAACCTAGCGCGTTATACTGATAAGTTTCAACAAGATTTGTCAAAACCATTCTTATGATTGAAATACCACACATCAGGTGACCGATTCCTCCCACTGCTCACAAATTTCATTCGATCCAGCGTGCAACTAGAAGCTGCGTTATCCACAGACGTGAGCAACAATCGCTCAATGTTGGTTAGGTGTAGTAGCTTCATCCATGCAGACAAAAACATGCCTCGTTTGCAAGTAAAGTTGTTTTTGAGGGAGAACTACCTGGAACCTAGCTTAATCTCCCGTTTATGATGCCTTGCTCAAAGTCCTCAATGCACCAAAATGAGGCTTTTGCTAGTTTGGAGTACGAGTTGATTTCGGAATGACAGCTTGTACATTCCTAGGCTGAATTAACCGTATGTTCGATGTAGCTCAGTGATAGCAGTTTGACGGGAATAAGTCCAAGGCTGCAATGCCCGTCGATAGGCACCTGTTGGAATCATGTGGATGACTGGAGGCCTTATTAGCTAGAAAACCAGTACATCTGGGAAACAACCTCTAAACCATACGTGAACAATGCAAGTACTGATTTTGGATTGACACCCGGGATTCAAGAGTGTTGAACTTATAATTATGAAAAGATCGCAAGTATCCAGGACCTTTTTCCCACGGGTAGTTGACGAACTGTACACTTCGAACAGGCAAATGACATTATGTGCAAGGGACACATAGGCTGTCGGAATGGTGCATTCCAACCAGGTTTCTTCTTATACAAAATGCATCATCCTAGAAATGTGGTCCAGAGTCCTCACAGTTAGTAGCCCACTCTAACCCTGTTAGGAAAGTCCCTGCCATTCACGTAACAGATTAGGAAATATTAATTAAATAGACCAGCATTATAGCGTCGGTTCTTCGGCCTTCAAAACAGTAGGCTAGCGTGCACACACTGGACTGTTGCGTAGGCTATCATGATTACGAATTTCTTCGATGTGCAAAACTTTTGTGAACTGAATAACTGACAACTGTCGAAACAATAACCAAAACCCTGTCCAAAACCTGCAAGACCAGCTTGACAGAAATGTGTTATTTGGAAACTTTGCACACGTCAAAACGTATCTGGTCAACTAATGTCAACGTGGATGCACTATGACAGCACGCTGTCTGCCTGCGAATTTCTCTGACCCACCTGGATGCACGCAAGTAGTAAATGTGAAGCCGTCCAGTTGAGATATTGAATGCTTAGTGACACGAACAGTGAGGACCAAGCTACCACGTCAATGGTCCAAGCACCAAGCGACTGAACATAAGCAAGTTCAAAATATCGAATATTCAGTTCCTTGGAGCTTCAATTTGTGGAACTTCCATCGTTCTCCTGACTTTAGACTAAAAAGTTCAACACGTTCCTAGCACATCACTGGGTCACAAGTGATGCTTGAAAGGATTTTCTGACACACAGGATAGAAAATCTGATGTAATGCAAATCTCCATATATTCAGCTGACATTGACTCATGTCGGATCATCGACTTAGTAGACGAAATATGAGCAAAATTTATGGCACATACCGTTCGCAATATAGCTTGCTGTGATCGAGGTTGAATAATTCGTGGTCACTCTATACCGGGTGTCAGAGGTATATAATTACTATACGAAGGGCCAGTATGACCAGTCTGAAATTTAACTATACAGCGTTATGTTTCACACAATTATTTTGGAAAAGAAACGAACAAGCTGTTTGAATTATGTCATGATTAAGTGCTTTATTGTGGACTCCATATAAATGAGCTAATTTAGCTAATATTTTATAACCAGATTTGTTCAATTAACACAGGATCCCTTGATGGGACGTTCAGTCCACCGGTGAAAAAAACCGTAGATCACTTTCATCTGGTTTCCAATTTATCAGTGTCTAAACAATATTTCATTTAAAACAGAACTCAATTTTGACTGATTTTTCTCTACTCAAACAATCAGTTTAATTGTAAGCGAGTTGATCGATGATTGTTGTTGCCTTGCTCGGCCAACAAATTTGTTCGCTACTGGACGAAAAAGGACCGGGAATATGAGAATCTGATCACCACAAAAGTTGCACAAAATGCAATTTTTCCGGATACTTGGTGATCCTGAGCGAATAAGAAAAGGTCCAGGTTAGATGTGTGCAATATCCCCGGGGATCGCAGAGATTAGATTGTGAATTGAGCATTACGGACCAACTGGGCGAAAGTAGACAGGAAATTTGCATCAGCTGCCCACAATTTCCAGACTGCATTTTAGTACATGACAAATGACATGTATCATTCATGAAAACACAAGCTGAATTTAGAATTTTGTTCAGCCGTTAGTGCAAGCCTGAGGGTAAGTCAACACACTCAAACTTACCTAATACCATATTGTTACGTCACAGTCCCTTGCCTCAAGCCATCAGGACGGATGAATGAAAAGTGGTTTTCCAAGTTAAAACTCGATAACACAGATTATCAGGCAAAATGTAGCAGTGCTAGGTAACTTGAAAGAAAATTTGCCTAGCCATCCTACCTGAAAGGTTTGCGTCAAACCACCGTCAAAGCCCTGCGTCCATGCTACTCGTAATGAATTGGCTGTAGAATTAAGGAGCCTCAGATTGAGTGGGACGTCCGGAGTGGAAGTACCTGACAGGCTGACTTCCAGCATAGCTTCCCCCTTGATGTTTACTGCCTGAAACAGACAAAAAGTATAACAGAAGGTAATAGTTGTAGTAGTAAGTAGAACGGTCGAACGACAGTGTGTCCACTTCATGGTATAGAGTCGAGATGACAGATATGACTTTGTCAGCAATATGTTTTAACAAAAGCTTGATGCCAATTACGCACGGATATGTTATGGGTGAAATTATTTTCACTAACGGCTAACTACCGGTACAGTACAAAGAAGGGTCAAGAGATGTTAGTCATTGTGAATGACGGGTTCGTAGATAAATGCTTTGGTTAAATAAAACAAATAAGTTAGGTAATGAAACATATTGATGGAACATAGGCTATAGTCACAGACCAGCCATACCGCTAAACTATAGCTGACAAATCCACTCTTTCCAATACAGTAGTCTTGTTAGGTAAGCCTTGTATATACTAGACCACGTAAAGCGATAAACGATCATGCCGGAAATGCTTCCGGGCTAAAATCGACGTAAAAAATATGCAGGAGTTTATTCCGACAGAGCTATCCAATGAAAAGAATCATCTGCGTTAATTTTTTGGAGAACTTTTAGCCAAACCCCCATTTTCGACTAATTTAGTCATCAGCGTTCATCGTTGTAAGTTTCACGACAGCCACATCACAAACTAACGAAATTCCAAGTTATCCGTCTGACCGTAGACGACAGTAGAAGTTTAGAGTTAGAATGCGCAGTTCAATGATTTTCTTCACTAATAACAACTGTTCATAAACCGGCTTCTAGTACAAACGGAGCGACTAATTTGTCAAGCTGGAACTCGACAATGTATATCTTTGATCACTTTGACCGGATTTGTAGGCATCGCAAGTAACTCGGTGGACATGGAATGTCTGCGGATCACAGTCCAATCACTTCTCACTTACGTATTTGATGGGTGTAATCGTGCTGTTCAAAGTGCGCATTATCTGAACTACACAGGAGCGTACTTCAAGTGAAACCGCCATGTGGTTTTAAACAAGTAAAATTTCCGACCATGCTTACTGAACGAACAAAATCTTCACCCAGAATGAGAAAATGTATGCGGGAAATGGGGTCAAATTGAGTCAATGTATATTGTTCCTACCAGCATCTAAGTTGAACACAATGACGTAGTTTTACGGGGTTTTCGAAATTATATAAAAGAACACCCCCTACACTCCATATATGCTTCTTTTGTACTGTGAGAGTAGCTGAGCTCTTTCTTAAGGTCTTATGGATGCACATCACTCTAGTGATTCACAACTCAACTGATTTGGTCAAAATGATGAAGTCGAGTTGTCAAAATGTGGATCAGGTAGCTATCAGCTGTGACGCAACATCACCTTATACCAGTATCCATATTTAGGATTATTCGGCCTGTCTTTTTTTCATTCTGTGTAATGGTAATGGTGTGTTATATCAGCCTACTCTGGACTTGAGGCTTAACTCTCCTTAACCATTGCATGTTTTGCCTTCGAAATTTCGCTTCATAAGTAGATGAATAGTGTCGCTAGGGGATCCCCAGCATCACCCATAGTTGCTAGCTTCTTAACACATCGCATGAAAACCAAAGTCTTACTCGACTTTGTCATGCTTCCATGCATATGACTGAGGTATGTCAGTAATTTTGCTGCCATATCAATGATAAAAAAGAAGCATTTCTGACCCGACGCAACGAACAGTTTTAAAGAAACTAAACCATTTTGGAACCCGATATTGAATAGAAAATCATTAGCCTCTTAGACGACAGTTTAACGATACATTCAATCCATGCCTCTGCTTTAATCACTCAAAAGGAAACCACACACCCAGATGGATATCTGCAATGGGAGTCTTCATACACACATTGCGTCAAATGTGCACTTATTGCTTCTTCAGCGGGCCGAGTCAGATGAGTTAGCTCGGACGATCCTGAGAGAGCGAACTTATCGGACTAAGCAAATTAACACAGCAACTACTACCCTAAAGCGCTCACCTGAAAACAGCTATCAAGAATAACCTCAAAACCAGAAGACAGGAAAGTGAAAACTCTGTGGGTCAGACACTCGGATACAAACAACGAAATTAAAATCCCATGCAATCCCGACTTTACAACACTAAAGGATAACACCTTGAAGGGGCGAATGAGACTGTTGCTCCGCAACGTCTCACGAATCGTGTACATAGAATTACTTTCACATAATGTCCGGCCGAATATAACGAACAAACAATTACAGCTGCGAATGGTGGACCACAAACATCATGTCAGATTTCCAACTCCCGACCCACAGAGAGAAGTTCAAACGTAATTGGCACACTCCTTCATGCACTGCAGCAAAATCATCGGATTGACTTGTCTGGTGCATATAAACTCCAGTGAAACTTCTATTCCTATCAGGATCTGCATGTGCCCGGCGGCGGAACCGATCTTCTGCCCATTTTGGTTGATCTGAACACATAACTAGCTAGGAATGTTAGGCGGACAGGAATCTGGATTGTCGGTCACCCTTGACCTCAGGAAACTGGTCATACCCCCCACATTCATCCACTGACGTTATCACAACCCGCGGGCTAAACCGTGGTCTCAGCACACAAACAAACACACTTACACGCAGACACACTAACACATTGATCTATTCTCCCCCACCCACAAAACACATGATCAAGCGAGGAACCAGAAACGGTGGCCGTTTTGCTGTTTAGTTTGCGTGTGATTACCTGGTCGTAAAGATCCTCAACAAGGTGCATCCAAAGTGGGCGAAACCTTTCGGAAAGCTGCACCTTAATTGAAGTTTTACGATAATTTTAACTTAATCAGAGTTTCATAAGCTAGCAATGTATATTATTTTTCTTGCTCGAACACCATTATATTTTTTGCGTCTTGACCCAAGTGAGTAGAACTTGCGACCTGATTAGGTATCAGGTGGTCGCATCTGCGAGAAACAAGACTTCATGTTCCGTTCTAGAGCAACGCTGATGGTGGGCGGAACTGGGAGAGTTAAACTAGATCAGGATTTCCTGAACCATACCTGACACTGGTACACACCAAAATCCGTTTTCTGAAGATTAGTCACTGTCAATGTAGATTTGTACAAGCCAGGTCGAATACGGAGAAACTGGGTTTGATGCTTTTGAGTTAGTGCGCCTGATCCTTCACGTTGTGAATCGTGGATCATCTGCCCCGCCTTAAGCCATCCGATCTGTGGCGTTGGCTCCGTCCGAACGAGACAAGTCAGAGTGACGGTTGAGCCTTGTTCACCAGCAGCCTTTGTATACCGAGGCAACCGAACGATACTTGGAGTAACTGTGAGCAAATAAACAAAAGGAGGTTATTTGTGTGACGCGGTTCTGCTGTTTCACTGTTTTTGAATTCGGTTAACAGAAAATTAGAAGTGCCTATTTACTGGGAGCACCCACGGGTCATTACACAATGATAGACTGCTCAACACAATAGCCCTAGCATTCTATAACCCACCCGAAATCCTCATTATATGCTTCTTGGTGTGACTGGTTTAGAGGTTCTTGTTCAACAACACAAGAATGGTGCTCCATGGTTAACATTTATTTGGAAGTTGAGGTGGGTGGAAAGGTTGTGTAAGCTTACCAACCTTTGGTTACTAGAGTCCGCCAAAAATATTTTTCGAACAAGTGCGATCAAAAACAAAATATGGTTAGTATCAGAGCTGCAGAGTAAAACCCATAGTAGTGGTACTCAGAAATATAACGTGTGCTCCTTTGATGCTTATGTTGGTGTGTGTGTTCGAACATACCTAAAACAAGAAGGCCTGGTGAAAACTATCATTTATTTTGGTCCGTGTAAATGCTCAGTTCCCACACTGTAGTAGTGACCCAATAGATGGCCCATCAGTATAGCTGTTTCCTTAGCTGACTCAGCACTCCTTCAACGTGGTTGCCTCGTAAGTCCGCATTTCATATCATGGCACGGCATACACATATTACTGGAAAACTCGCGTAAAAAGTTGGGTTCGATTGCTTTTCCTTCTAAATGAAGCTATGAGACGCTTTACTCCGGTCCGAGAAGCAAAACCAAAGTGAGCCTATAAATACAGTGGTAAGAGTATGTTGACAAAGTGTTAGGCGGCAGGAAAAGGTGTGATAGAAGCGCATCAAGCGATGTGTTAATTTCATCAACAAACCGGGCCGCGTGAGGATTAATAGAGATCGCCAATATGTGGTAAGACTTGCAGATTGAAATTTAAGCTTGTCCAGTGTGAAAGGACTGGATATACTATGCGCTGCTACAGTGTAAAAGCAGATAGAGTACAGCGGTTTCAGTCTGGGAAGAAAAAAGAGTGGGAACAAGAAAACGACTTTTAAAAGTCTGTATGGACTGGCAGTGATTAAAAACTCCGGTCGATCAGACAATTGAGTGAAGTTCCGCTGGCAAAATGCAATGTGAAAATTTTCTCAGACAAGTGACGATGAAAGAAGCTGCGGCGAAAGAGCTACTCTGAAACCATAACTATTGGGAATTATCCATCGCAGAGTTTTAGCACTTTTGAATGCACTGAATGCAATTCATGCAGAACGGCTTTGAGTGCGATGGATGACTATTGGCTAAATGGGTGGTGCTAACTTCTACAAACGCTGCGCTTTCAAGCAAGCCCAAAGGAATACACGCTTGAATAATGGGTCATCTCCTGAATATGCATGTTTTCAATATGTTTTCATGTTTCAGGTTCAACAATTACCTCTCAGTTTATACTTAGCGCTTCACAATGTTTAGGAATGCGCGACTCCATCCATTTCGATTCACTTACGCTCATTCGTCATCATACGGCAGTGAAGCATCAGTATTGACCACTGATGTCGTGCTGTTGATGATGATCATGACCCTTTATCAGCTAAGCACAACAAAATGTTCAGGTTGCCGAGGCAAATGAGACGAAACTGAACTAGTAACAGATGAACTGGATATGGGTTAGCTCAAGAGGATGATTGTGGCATCCACTGCGGAGCTGAAACTTAAAGCCCCGAAGATGGACAGCGAGTAAAATGTTGAAAGTTTTATCAGCACTGGTAAATTCATCAGTTTGGTCCAAAAAAGCCTTCTTAGTCTGAATAACAAACGGGCGAATTTTCTTAAGATCTCCTAGACTTTAACAGTAGAGTAATAGGCGGCCTTTCGACCCTTGGTGGGGGCTTATCGGCATTGCGTGCGCCAGGGTTTGAACGACAGAACAGTGATCATTTCAGAAACCCATATCCAAGCCCACAGTCCAATAACTTTTTGGAAAGGCCTTTCAGCCTTAGTGTGGTGCGTAGTATATGCGACTACCTACTAAATAAATAGCCCGGTTACCGTCATGTTAGCTACTACTACTATCCTGACAACTTTAAACAATGACTGATTTCAAAGGATAACACGAACCGATGAATGAACAATCAGATGTCCAAGACTGTTTTCCCGCTAACTACTGCCACGTAGCGTGTGGAAAGTTTCATCTTTTTTCTGACACTTCTAATTCACGAATGTTTTAATGAAAAGCCCGTCACAAAGCGACAGGACCTTACCGTGGTGTGTCCGTTTGTGTAACCTGGCGACCCATTGAACTCTACTATGGGGTGTCAGCGTGACAGTCACTGTCTCTCACATCAGGTCGATCAGTGGTTAGAGGTCTGACAAACACAGTCTCCTGGTCGCCCAAGCTGGGGGTTGAAAAATGTGTGGAGACGTGTTCTGTTAAAAAGGTAATGCAGTTGCATTTCCAGTCAAATCCCGCTGCCCTATGGTTAGGCCTTTGAGCCAAAAGCTTTGGTTGAGGACCCTAATCGTCCTCCTGTCTAGGTGCTGGTGCTCTGGTAGTACCCCAGCCCACACAAACTCATCAAACTAACACTACACTCAACCCACATCGGCCGTCGCGTGATGCCATAAACCGGGTCACCTTACTTGTTGCATACAGCAAGGCGGCTAAGCGGAAACAGGCTACTGCTGACGTCTCCCTACTTACATTTTCACGTTTTCCCGCTTCCACCCTACCCTACCCGATTTCGATTACACTCTCCATAGGTGCCAGTACTGGCGTTGACGGTTTTGCTTGCTCTGCATCACACTCCGCTGCAGCTGCTGTACGTCCGAGTTCAGTAAAAACCCTAAATACTTTGGAATCCGTTTTCAAACCCCGAAGGCCTCTCTGCTTAGCTACGCTGAATCTCCATTCTATCACGATGAAGGTGAAGGAGTCGTTTACCTCCCCAAGCGAGTAAATCTAACCAGTTATTATTTTCACCATTCCACGAACTCCAGAGTCCAGTTGTCATTCCTGTTACCTGCCCACATTCGCATAAGTTCTGGTCTATGCTCCAGATAATGTATGAGCATGAAGTTTTATTCAGGTGAACAACCACTAGAACCCGGATATTTTTAACTCCGGTAGATAATACACCTCTTCAGCAAGTGGAAGCATTGAACAAAGATAAACCCTAATCAGTAGTGGACATCCACAGACAGAAACTGCAGGCATCTGGGGGATCCAAAACCTTCCTTGCATGCGGCAGTGGCTACAATCATCTCAAGAGCCACCAATATTTTCATCCAAACGTACGCTTCAGAACTTAAGTAAAGCGCATGAACGTAGTGCTTGTTAATTGTATGCGGATCATAGTTACTGTTGTAAAGGCCGCGGATTCATTTTGGAGCATAGATAATGTGCTTCTCTATGCAGATAGTTTTGAGAGTTGAGAAGAGCCTGAAAAGTTTTATCAACAGTTGCAATTTTTCAAAATGTAACTATTAACTTCGTGGGTAGAAATGGGTAGGCAGTCCAGTGGCTCACATTGCTCACATTAAAACTTACAATGGTAGACAAAGTGTATATTCTTCCGTACTGGGTCTCCCAAGCCGTTGTTTATTTCACAAACATATGTTCCAACGTCATCCCTGTTTATCCGATAAATGCTCAAGCGACTAGTCATATGAACGGAATCATCCCGTTGGCAGTGAATAAAATATTTGTCATCAACTGAAGGACCCGCATCGGACTGTAATGAAAGAGTGTATAACAGGCGGATAAGTAAAACTTGTGAGGTTAGATGATGACATAACTCACCTCTGTTTCCTTTGAGCGGAAGCGTGAACATCAATTAAATTGGCCAGATGATAAGTGAAACTTTTGTTTTTGCTGTTTGTGTGAAGCATTACAACGAAACACTGTGGTGGTCCTCTAGCACAGTTGGTGAAGTCTTGGAGGGTAAATTTTAATGGTCTCGAGAAACTTCTAAAAATTTCCTGTAGGAAATTAGTCTCCAAAGAGTTAGTTCACAAAGCTACATCAGCTGACACAAGCGAACGGAAATTTAGCAACAATCTCCGCATCCAGATATTTACAATGCATTTGAGTGTCGTGTACTGTCACCTACTCTATTTCAGTCTTAATGAATAACTCACTTGGTTGCAAGACATTGGAGCACTCAACTGTACTTCGGCTTCGTTCACATCCTGTGGCCATCCTGGGGGTGGAACATACCGGTACCAGGTGAATGATTGTGTGGCAATCGAGGGATTAGCCGTCGCCTGGCACACAAGTGTAACTTGGTCGGAAGTGGTTTGTGTCACATTCTCTTCTGCCGCACCAGCTAAACTTGCCGGAACTGCAATACAGCAAACAAATGTGTTCATTCAACTGTGATAGGCAAACTGTCAACAGGACATCGAGAATAATGAACACACCGGTCTTACTCTACCTCAAACCAGCTTGTCAGTCAAACAAAACCGACCTCCGAGGGCAGTAAATAAAACAGTATTAGTCGGCTTGTGTCAGTTAGCGTTTCAGATAATAGATAATCAGCGCGTTATTCCTTCGAAATTTTCAACCAGTGGTTGCTCCTTGGATGACCAACAACATTATTCAAGGTATATTGCGCGGCAGATAAGCTGAAAAATTAAGCTAGAAATGCCGCTATGGTGTGATGTCCTGTTTGCCACTAGGGTGTAGACTTTCGCGGTGCAATCCCATACTGCGGTTTGTTAGTACCACTCACTGGGTGGTGACTGGCAGGTCAGCTGGTGGTCACTAGGCAACAGTGTGTTAGAGGTTTCTAAGGGAAATAAAGTGTCAGAACAATCAGGCAGTGAAGTGGTCCACCGAGAGCTTCGTCTTGGTCATTAACTTTTCACTTTTATCGATTTGTTCCAGCTGCTGCTGCGGTCATAATGATCAGAATGTAACAAAACGGACGCATAATTTGGATAGAACTTATATCCATCCAGAAAACAGCATGCTTTCCCTGAAATGCATAGAGCTAGCATTTATATCGCCGCCACCACCATGGTATAATGAAGAACGCTTTTGCTTGCAATCATCCTTGAAACTAAAAGAACTGCTAACTTCAAATCTGGCTTCCTTCCAGATGATGAACTCAATTAGCTCTAGAATGCGAATGACCAATGTACAGGATGTTTTGCTTGAACTTGACAATGTCAATCCGACAAATCTCCTTTTGTATCGCAACACCACAGCAGCCGAACTTAAGTGGCTCACGAGCACTGTGGTCAGTACAGAATATGGAGTGTCTTCTTGACCCAAACACTCGCGTTGTTATTCGTGATGTCATATGGCCCCCGAAAGATTACTCCTTGGTAATGTGAGGAGATTTGAGATTAACTGTGATAGGCAAACTGTCAACAGGACATCGAGAATAATGAACACACCGGTCTTACTCTACCTCAAACCAGCTTGTCAGTCAAACAAAACCGACCTCCGAGGGCAGTAAATAAAACAGTATTAGTCGGCTTGTGTCAGTTAGCGTTTCAGATAATAGATAATCAGCGCGTTATTCCTTCGAAATTTTCAACCAGTGGTTGCTCCTTGGATGACCAACAACATTATTCAAGGTATATTGCGCGGCAGATAAGCTGAAAAATTAAGCTAGAAATGCCGCTATGGTGTGATGTCCTGTTTGCCACTAGGGTGTAGACTTTCGCGGTGCAATCCCATACTGCGGTTTGTTAGTACCACTCACTGGGTGGTGACTGGCAGGTCAGCTGGTGGTCACTAGGCAACAGTGTGTTAGAGGTTTCTAAGGGAAATAAAGTGTCAGAACAATCAGGCAGTGAAGTGGTCCACCGAGAGCTTCGTCTTGGTCATTAACTTTTCACTTTTATCGATTTGTTCCAGCTGCTGCTGCGGTCATAATGATCAGAATGTAACAAAACGGACGCATAATTTGGATAGAACTTATATCCATCCAGAAAACAGCATGCTTTCCCTGAAATGCATAGAGCTAGCATTTATATCGCCGCCACCACCATGGTATAATGAAGAACGCTTTTGCTTGCAATCATCCTTGAAACTAAAAGAACTGCTAACTTCAAATCTGGCTTCCTTCCAGATGATGAACTCAATTAGCTCTAGAATGCGAATGACCAATGTACAGGATGTTTTGCTTGAACTTGACAATGTCAATCCGACAAATCTCCTTTTGTATCGCAACACCACAGCAGCCGAACTTAAGTGGCTCACGAGCACTGTGGTCAGTACAGAATATGGAGTGTCTTCTTGACCCAAACACTCGCGTTGTTATTCGTGATGTCATATGGCCCCCGAAAGATTACTCCTTGGTAATGTGAGGAGATTTGAGATTTTTTGTGAAGGTTTCGTCCTGTAAGTGAAGCCAATCTATGCCGAAAAGCCGAGAAGCACTGTACAGCTGTTTCATCCTTATTGGGAATCATCAGCAGTGGGCATCTCGAACCCGTGGCCGAAAGGTTAAGTGTTCAAGCTACTAGCCAGGACGTCACGGGTTCGAGACTCTCCAGAGTTTCGTGAGATGCACACTGCTGATGACTCCTTATTCAACAGGCTCAGATGAATCATGGGCTGTCACAATTCGTAGTCAGATTAGTAAGACATCCATCCAGGTATCTTCCAGATGGGACAGTGCAAAGTCTTCCGTCTTCCAGTACAAACTAGCAGCATAGAGCCTGTTGTGAAGTGCTACTATCCCCTTACTACCAACGGACACAAATATTTGCTTGCAAACTGCCTGCTTTTATACGCATGCATACAACCGAGTTACCGGTTATCAAAGTACGAATGTCTGTCGATGCGAACCTCGATTCGTCGAATTGTAAAACGAAAACATTCTCAATATTTTCTGCCCTGTAAGATGCAGACTAATGATCAGAGGAAAGTGTTGCACACGCAATACTAAAGGTTATTTGAAAATGTGACAAGCGGTCTTCTTATAAATAAATGAGGTTCGTACAACCTAAAACCTGACCAGAGACTCACATGTCACATTGAGAAAAAATACTGCACTGGATTCAGCTATGTCATTTCTAGCCACAATAGTGTAATTTGCCATGTGGGTCCGACTGATCTTGTGTAAAGCCAAAAGTTCACCCAGTCGACCTGAAGTGTGCACCCCTGTCCGAGCAGCAGCGGGCGTGGTTTCTGGTGGAATTGGACGCCCTTCAACGAACCAGCTGACGGACGTCACAGGAGGGTTGGAATACGGACCTAAATCTAGATTCACCGTTGTACCTTGAACAATATTGAAGAAGGAGACAAATACGTGTTAATTGAGCGACTTATTGCTTTTGTTTGCATGTTTAACAATTGAGTACATGTGTGATTTAATTCAAAACACCACTGTGCATTGAATATTATTTGTAGCGTTTACTCACTTGGTCACTCAAATCACGTAACCATTCCTGTTCCGCTTGCAACCATAGCCAACAGCATGTACAACACCTCATCCACTTTTGTTTACGCAGCAACCACCTACGTCACGCGCCAAGTATACGAACTTCCACCAAATCGGGTCAAGTTGTATTCATGTTCGTGCAATTATCAGGCACGAATTGACACCCACTCTTTACACTGCACACAATAAATAGACACGCAACTTGACCCAGAATCACGTGTGCACAGGATAGGAAGTCAACCGAGCTCCACAAGGCTTCATGGACAACTACGGAGCACGTGTAGCAGTTATGCTGCAAACAAGACCCGTCGCGCGCCTGGAACTTCACTCAGAAACTCTCGCCAGTTTGTCCTCAAGCGATAAGTCACTTTTTGGTTTATTCCTCCTTGCATTGTATTTACTTCTTACCAAGTGCACATTACTTTTGTAATCATCATCATTCTAGCAAAACACGTACTTGTTATTGCTTGTCACCTGATAGTCAACCTTATTTTTACAGGCAGATCATTAATGGGTTACAGGTTCGTCGTATTGCAGTTGTTGGCGAAGCTAGCAGTCAGGTTTTCCACTTCTTCATTTCGGCTGAAAGTGGCGAACTGGGAAAAAACTCCCGACTAAGTTCTTAAATATGGGAAAAGTCATTGCATTTTCGGGAGCAACAAAAGGTACAGTTCGTCAAAATATGCACCTAGGCTGCTCAGATACTGGGTTGCTCCAGAAAGGTGCAACTGGAACGAAGTCCGGTGGTGGACCTAATGGCCAGCTGCAACCATGTATGCAAGTCAGCGTGCACTCTTCTTGCTGCCTTTGAGGCATATCAGAGGGAGTTTGCTATCAGTTTCAGTTCAATCTTCCTAATTCGGGTTACTGTTTATTTACACTTCAGCGAGGCGCGTGTAAAACTTATCGGTGGAATAGCCGGACACGTGTAAGCTGAAGGGTTTTGTCGAAACGTGGTGTGTCTGAGCCATAAGTCAAGTTATTTCGACAGACTTCGAAGGCCGTAGGAACATCGACAACCTCGTGAGACGTAGAATCTTTCATCCAGATGGGTCACATAATAGGTAACTAAGTTATATTATTTGACAGTTTCATCTACACGCTGCAGAATAGTGCAGTTAATTGGTACGGCGACGATAAGCGCAGCAACCGGTCTTGGAAAAAATCAATAAAAGTACATGAAAGATCTTTGATGTTAAAGTAATGTTGGACTAAATCACTCCCTTTTGAGATTCATAACCTGCGAAAAGCTATCTCAGCTTTCATCTGTCATGGTATTCAAGGTGCTGCACATAATCTTCAGGGTAAAACGTTGCCCTAAAGGTAGCTGAAAACCCTTCGACCGCCCACCACCGGTCTAGCTTTTTCTGATCCCATCAGATGGCCGAAGATGAATAATATAGTACAACAGATGCGTACTTGAGTCTTCCGTTAAGAGTAAAGTGATTTGCGAATGAGTATGTTACAGTGTGTGTTGGGGCAAAATGTAACGTTAATGGAAACTCAGACACTACGCTCAACTCATGAGCTCTAAAGTCGCAACCGGTAGTAGGTTATCGAACAGATTTAAGAATTAGTATAAATAGTATGCCAAGTCAGGGAAATGTGAAAGCTCCGTTTGGAAGTGAAAATTGCTGGTCTTTAAACGTGTCAGCCGTTCCTCTCTGAGGCATTCTGGTAGAGTTTGCAATTTTCGAGAGGCCTATGTGTATTTTTGGTGAATAATGAGCGTTAAGAACCCATTATTTTGCAAGAACTCTGATCATGAGTTGGAAGTATTCTCCATCGTTCATATACAATTAGCTGAAAAGTACCGAGGAAAGGATGAATGAGAAACATGATGTCTCTAGCAGCATGATACTTTAGTAAAAATCTAGTTTTACCTTTGGGTGGCCGTTACTTAGGGCCGTTTAACAAACACCCTTAATTTCTGGCGTAATTTTCGAGTATGTTTACCCTCTGAGTTTTTTGGAGTTGAAATTCAAGGCTAATTTGAGAATAGTGATGTTGAGCTGAATCCTCAATGTCAATAGCTCTTGTAAAACCAGGACGTTTTCCAATAATTTGAACACTTCTGTCAAACAGTCCATGCAAGTAAACAACAGCGGTGCCGGATGGCAGCTAGAACTCTGTAGTGAGATAAACTAACAAGGAGACAACGTTACACATAGATATTGTTTTCTCTGTATAGAGCCCAACGAACTAGGGCATCGAAATCGTTAGTTATCGGCTTTCTTATATTTCTGTGCTTTCTTACTTCGCCTCAGGATTTAAGCAAGCGGGAAACTACTTCAAACAAAAAAATTATACTCTTTGAAACCACAGTATTGGAGTGAATGTTTAATGCGGCTACCATTTGTAAGTAACTGGAGGCAAAAACTGCATAAGGCGTGGCGCATCAATACAGAACAGCAAAGCAGGCTGCCTGATTGTCACAGTTTATTAGGTTAGTGGTCCTGCGCATTGTTTTCTCCGTACACTAATTGAATTTCGTTTAGAATTCAATTAACTTGATGACTGGACGAATCAACTTGGTGAGTTTGACAGCGGCAAGGATCGATACTGGCCAGTTAAAAGCGAACCCAGAACCGGACTGTCATTCGCCATCATCATAGTTACTTAACTATACTCATGGACACGGCAAAACAATCGGGAGTGTGGAAAGTGTAACTGAAGTTTATCATGCCAAGCTGGAACAGCGTCATTGCTTTTAATTCAGGAGAGTAAATCGCCGTAGGTCCCAAAATATTTTTTCCGAAGCATTGGCTGACCTAAAACATCCAAACAACCCAACCAAATTTTTCGTTTTCCAGTCATCATACGCTTGTTAACAATACCTTGTTTGAAGACAGATGAGTCTGATATGGTTACGTTACGCCTTAATAATAGACTACCAATATTATCAACTATTTTACGTTGCGAATGAATGTTATGAAGAATAGGTTTAAATAAAAAGAGGATTTACAAGCAGCCCAACGAAGTGCGTTGGCGTGCTTCAGCCAAGCCCATCAACGTTGGCTTGCTTTTCGTTTTTTAGTTTAAAACTCAACGTTTTAGAAAGCGCAAGCACAAAATACTTTTGGATTAATCAGAACATTTTACTGCACACAGACTGAGACAGCCGAGACGACGAAAAATATCTTTTTAAAGGGCATAACCATTCTTTGGTCGCGACGGTAAAGCATGGGAAACATCAATATAGCTGGTTCGTGGGAATTTCGGTAATACTCATCAGCTGTATACACGGAAGATACACTCGCTATACCCCATCATGTCGGAAAGAATCTGTTGCAGTACGGTCGTAAGTAAGTAGACAAAAACGTTCTATTCAGAGTTGCTTTCAATAGTAGCCATTTGTTGATCTGCCACAGTTCTGCGGTGCCAACACAACTTCGACAAGCATTTTCGTACTGAATATATATTCTAAGGCAATGCCCTCTATAATAGCCAATTGTGTTAACGGACCACAAAATACGTTTCGTTCTCCTAATGACTTCTTTAGGGCTACATCGAACTAAGAATACTATTTGGATACCGTGATATCTGACTCAATGATAGTGCTCCAAATCTTTTTGAGTGTATGAAAATGTCTGACGTAGTGAAAAAGCAAGGTAAAGGCAAGGTAAAGGTCGAACGGACTTAACTGCTGCACTAACCGTGTAAAAGAACGAGCGCTGAACAAAGCGCGCTGACATATTATGCACCGAAGGAAGGAGAAACTGGAAGTAGGGAACAAAAATGAATGCGCAATGACGCTGACTGGATTCACGGCAAGTTCTTAGATATGTGGTCGTTCGTATTCTTTTGAATGAAACTGGATTCCCTAATGAGCGTTGGTTTTAACCAGGAAACACTGTGACTTCCATAAAAATAAAGCTTCTCTATAAATATGATGACCTCGGGATTTCGATTATTAGCTTACGCTCTGTTCTGCTTTGTTGAACAGAGTTAAAAATGCTTTAATCGATTTATGCCAAAATTATATGTGGTCTAGTAGCGAAGCTTCAGGCGTACCACGTGCGATATCAACTCTGAATAATTTATACCTTTACGTCGTCGTTCCAGAATTCAAGATTAGCTCTCAAAGACTTTTAAACCTTTAAACTTTTAAATTCCTTAGAAATTATAACGTATGTATTGGCAAGCTTTGGTTGGAGCTTAGTGAGTAACAACAAACGTTCGAAAACTCAGGAACTGCCATGATGTACATAAAATCATGAGTGTGCATCACACAAAACCCGGCAGCATTATTAAAAAGTTGGTCACAAAATATTCAGCCAATTTAGTACTCAAAGGTTTTCACACATTCATCGATACTCGGACTAATCAAATAATGAGTCGGTTATATCTAACTATCAGTTAATATTAACACTTTCTCACCAGTGTCAGCACAGATTCACTGATCGTTAAGATGTTCGAAGAACGACTGCAACCTATAGCTTATATTAGGGCCAGGTTTGAGTCTTGAAGTGTTTTGTTTGTGGCAAAAAGAAGTCTCTGGAGTTTAGACAAAGGTGTGTTGGGCTCAAGAGAGCATGTGGGTGAAGAGCTTCAACATATGGATGCACAAGTGATCCGTTTTTTAATAACTCCGAAAAACACACTGAACAAAAACCATATTGGGTTGGCAAAATTAGCGGCACAGATCTCGCATGAGTTAAGATTATGCAACATTTACAAAACCCTTGATCCCTCAGTGCCCTCACTATTAGTTCAAATAAATTCATTGAGCAAGATAACCGTAATTCTTATGGAAGGGGCTCACTATAGAAAATTTTAGAGGGTAAAAGTTTTGGTTTTTTTACGATCGAAAGACTTGTGTGATTATCTGAGGATTAAGTGCTGAAAGAACGAATTGCACATCCCCGTCCTGCATAAAATTGGAGTTTCAGCCACTGGAGGCTAGCCGAGACTTTTGTCAGCATTTCGGGTCTCGGCATGCGTTGGCAAGTCGAGACGAAAATATCCCAAGTACGAACTTCGACCAAGCATGTAATTCTGTGAGAAACTGCATAAACCGCAAAAATTACAGAGCATGTGTCTTACCCTTGCGCTCTACCGAGAAATCTTCATAAACATGAATCCTCTTGTGAATGGAAGTCGTTTTTTCCACACACAAAATTGTTGGAGATTTCATTGACTTATGACACTACTCTAAGAAACCAGATGTATCTAGGTCGACACGTGTGTATTATTATTCTAGTGTTGAGCGCAGGACGATGTAGTTATTGCTGTCAAATTCTGTTAGATCAGCGCTAGTTGGGATGAAACAGGCGGCCGAAAGTGGTTTCACTGGGTAGTTCAAATTAACCAGGACACTACATTTGACATATAAGTCATTTTTATGTTCTAAACTGTTGTGTGTGCACAACACGAAGACGGAACAGTATTCTCATTTCTGGTAGACTCTCAGCTTCAGTAAGATGAGCGTAGGAGCTGAATTAGACTAGTGCAGAGGACAGAACATTCTGGAGGTCCAGAAACTGGTGACTTGTTCCCCAAATTTTTACATGGACGGTTGCCGTTAATGATAGTTCATCGAATAGTACACATGACAACATTGGCCAAATATGGATCTTGAGAGCATTAAAATACTATGTTTCCCTTGTCTGCATGCATGAACCCGGCACGATGTTTTCAAAAACCTCCGGGTGGATAGAGGAGGCCTTCACAATCAATTAACTAGGCCGAACACCATTATTAATGGTACTGAAAGACTTTTTATAATTTCTACGCTTTGTTTGCAAGCGTAGAATGCGGAATGCTTCCACCAAACGCACTTGAATTAAGCTGAAATAACAATAAGAACTACTTGAGCTCTCTTACACTCAGCTTACCTTCACGAATCACGTGTTCCTTCCGTGTTTGCAGACCAAGAAACTGTGGAGCAAATGTGATATTCAACTGAAGGCGATCATGCCACACGGGAGGGCCATATTCGGGATTTTCAGTTCTGCACTCGATATAATCCATGTGATAATGCCATGTCGGTCGAAGCCACAACCGACTTTGCGCCTTTAGGCCACCAGCAGTACCGGGAACAGGGTTTTCTTCCGTACCTATAGGCATGAATGTACGGTGTGCAATAAGATATGAACGTAGGAATTCTGGATCTTTATGTAATGGGTGTACTGCAGAATTCGGGTGCTCAATGTTCTGCTTCAAGGCTCGTATTCAAACCTCAAATACTACATGGCTACAACGTTGTTTGTGCACATGGTGTAGCTGAATTCAGCGGGATATTTTTTAATGTGTATTATTGGTATGCAATCCATACAGTGTCCATGGGTGCACTGCTTAAGCTGGCTACTGTGGTAATCCGTTGGTTGCATCATACAACTGGTGAACACCGAAGGATTTCCGTTATTCTCCAAAGTTCCTAATGACTTAAAGACGATAGCTGGAGTTGTTCTAAACAATTGTCAATGCACTATGACAGGTGATGTGCGATACCCACTATTCCGCAATTTTGGTGTAGCGACTTTGCGAATGTGTTCAATGTGATTAGTCAATTCAATTTCTCAATCAACTGGAAAAACGTTGGGACCAAATGAGAAGTATCGTTTCAGGATTAGTCAATTCAATTTCTCAATCAACTGGAAAAACGTTGGGACCAAATGAGAAGTCATCGTTTCAGAAGAGCTTGGTAAACAATGGGTAGTTTTTATTTGGGCAACTTTTCGCTTTTGACACAAAAGCTTCATCAGGCCAAATGAACAGGTCACCAAGTTGACTTGGTTTTAAGGCAGACTGAGAACCAATCTTCATATTAGCTCACTAGAATAGTTTTGGGCGTCAATTAAATCAATTTTTGTTAACTAAAGGATCGCGGAGGTCACTGCTCTTGCTAAATATGGAAGAACACCTACTACTGCATTCCTCCAGGATCTCCTAGAGCTTACCCGAAGACCCACTATCTTTTTTCCTCCTTGATAGAAAAACAGTTAGCTGCGGAATCGGAAGGTGGCATCGTATGAACTCCTGCAGTTCAACCTAAACAAATTACACTTTTATGGTTACTTAAGTGACAACTAATCGTTTTCTGACATTTTACTCCGGTACACAGTAGGTGAGAAATGAAATAGTTGCTTTTTGCAATCTACAGTTTCAAGGACTGACGTGGTCTGTTCGACTTGTGGAAGCTAGCATCAAACATACAGTTTTTATTTGACATGCTAAGGAATTATTTTACTCCAAACATAGTCTCGAATGGTAAAACCCTTTCTCACACGGACATACCCTCCAGTTTTTCAGATTTGCACTTCGCTCTTTCTGGAGGTTTTCGTTCATAAAGCACTTCCTCAACGGTTGTTTTCGATGCTTTGAATTGTGAAAATGCGTGGGCGGGTCCGCAACGAAAATGCCACCAATTAATGATGGCCACCGGGTTGGATGAATCAGCCTGACAACTGATTACAAGCGGTTGTCCACTTGGAACGACAGAAGGCCCATGGAAATTGACGGACACTCCTTGGGGTGGGAAAACGACGTTGAGAACTACAGCCTCGCTTGCAATGCCAACATTTCCAGTAGCTGCGTTTCTCGCAGCACAGCTGAAATCGACACACATGAGACAGTCACTGAGAATGCACAATTAGTAAATATTTGAAGGATGTATACTTAGCGGAATTGTGTACAGTGATTTTCAGCCGGAGGTACTAACGATCAAAACAATGGCATACTACACTGTATTGCAAATAACTTTTTGTTGATGGGCAACACAATTAAGTCTCCCTTTTGTACAGATATGTATAGATGTGGATATAAATACTTATTGGGACTGGAAATAACTCAACTATAACCGGTCGACCGAGAGTATTAAGTTACTTTCTGTGATAAAGCCAAATTAGCCCACGGGTAAGCGACAGTCGCCTCTGAGCGGAATCTCGATATTAATGGGGTGATTGTGGATCCTAGAGCAGAGCCTCAACATATGAATTCTTTGAAGTTGGATGGATGGGGGTCATCAGTGCAATGGTTGTAATACTATTCTGATTAAACAAAATACAACAGGTGTTTTTCATCATGATTTTAAAATGAAAAAATAAAAAGATTCTGCCGTGGTTTCTTCATGTAAAAAGAGGACCGCTTCCAGTTATGTAGCTAGCCAAATGTGAGAATGGTTCGAAAAATGTCACACGGTTCCGCATATTTCGGCTTCATGGCGGTTTTTAGACAGGATATTGAAAATACTACGTATCGTGTAATAAACTGGACTCACTGGTAGTGTGCACCGTTGTCATCCCTCTGAGGTACCAACTTTAGTTTCAGGCTGCTTTGTCGTCCTAGTAAAATAACTTCTTCCGAATTGGGTAACTGCTGCTTATCTGTGGGAAAAAAGTAATATATTCCACTGAAAAGTTGAAGCGCACACAAAAACGTATTAATCAAACCACTAGTTCTGACAACCAAAGAAGCAAGCAGGTCAGGAAAGAGCCGGTGTAAGGAAATAAAAACAATGCAACGATGACCGGCGATATTGTTTTCCAAAAACGTACCTCGAAACCAAGCCAACTCGGGCGGAGGATTTCCCCCGGAGGTTACGCAGGTCATCTCCAGCGAGTGTGCCATTTTCACTGGTTGCAGATTCCGATAGCCAGTGATGACTGGCACGCCTGGGGGGTCTGAAAGCGGATTCACACAACTTATGTTTTAACTGTCACCGGAAGAAACATGGATTCGCAGTGCTATCAGCAATCTATATGACGCTAGTAAACTGTACAACCAGATAAGTGTGTAAGGAAGCAGTCTCAAAGTATCGAGTGGGTGGGGGAATTGAAACAAGGATCATTGTGAAATTATAAGCTATAAAGTATTCTTCCTCTGGACTGCACAATAAAACGGAACAAGTCTACTTGGGATTAGTGTGTGCGTCATTCTCCACATTACATTCTGTTATTTTATGCACTTGAATCGACAAAGCAGGTCATGGGAACTTGTCAGCAGATACCTCTGTCAAAACAGAGGGTCTGTTTACTGTTCCACTGATTGCTGAATGTCAGCCGAAATGCAGAGAGCTTTTTTACACTTTGTACGTGTACAACGAATTTCAGTGACACAACAACAGTATGGTTTAAAAGTCAGGTTTTCACAGTCAGGTAATTTGTGCTGGGTGGTAACACTTCCCTCGTCGATTAAGCGGGACTGAACTCAGGCACATAGCTGCCACAGTCTGTTAATGGTAGATTTGTGATATTACCAGACTGTTCAAGTTCAGAGGGAGATCGAATTACTGAACGTTGGTTCTATCCAATAATGGACTGGCCAGAAACTCACGATTTAACCTCTGGGCCATCGTAAGTTCTGGTTGGCTTTCCGATTATGCGTAGAAACCTAGCCGAGATGAACAAGTGTTGTGGATAACTGTATCGGAGCGAAGTTACGCCCAACTGACATGATGAGGCTTTTCTCAAATAGAATAAGACCACTGACAAGTAATCATTTTTCAGTTGAAGATGACTAAGCCAATTTGAAGCAAAAATACCCTAATCGTGTGCGCAGCGTCATATTCTTACTTGAAAGGGAAGCAAGAACAATGGTAGCTAATCGTTACTTACTGAAGGTCACCAGGTACTCTAGTGGAGGATGTAACGAAAACAAACGTCTCGCGGTAACCCTATTGGATGCAATGCCCGACAGTTGAACCTTGCATATAGGGACTTTTTTCGGTGAAATATTCCGACCACACCTAACTATCTGCAATGACAGCCATCCAGTTTGAAAGGTCGACAACTTAGCTGAAACTCATACTTTGGATAGGCAAGGCAGCTTGACAGCAGGATTGTCCTATCTTATTGTCACTACACCCGTAGCATGATCGGTTAGTGCACCGTGCATTGTTTCTTTTCATGGCATCCGTTAGCCTGGGCAGTGAAGCGTACGACGGTTAAGCGGTTGCAAATGGATCGAGAGCAAACGATGCATCAGAAGCAAAATCCATCTCCGCAAGAATGTGATATGTTTAGTTAGATGAAAACAATGAATGGACCTGTCACAGTGACACGTGGCCCAACTCACTGACAAACGAAATCGTCGGAAAGCCTATTGCGTAAGATGTATATACGCTAGGAAAATGTGCCAATGTAGCTGTGTGCGTGCACTCAAACAAGTGAAGCATAACTTCTTCCGTTTTTTTGAAATCCTACTTTCATATTCGTCGGGAGACTATTTGAAAGCAAGAAAGGAAAATCAGTTAAAATTGACCAGTAAGTTCCTCCAGTATACCTTGCTACGTCGAAGTTCACGTGCTTTATCACTTACATATGATATCCATGCGCACTCGGGCGTCCACTCGTAAATCTCCTTCGCTCCACACCCTACAGTCCACATATCCTCGATCGTCCTCCTCGCTAATTTTAACATCCACACGAGATTCCTGCAGCCAGCTTTTCCCATCCGGCGTTCGCATTATTTTTGTTTGACCGAACAGTTGTCTTGGAGGTTTCATGGGACCTGAATCAGAGGACTGCGTAATCCACTTGATGTTAGCCTGTTTGAAATATGGGCTGGTTCTGCATATTAAAGTTTTAATCTCCCCAGCCTGACCGTAGACTACAGACTCCCGACGACCGCTCACCAACTCTTCGCGTACCGACCCACCATCGACGCTTATTGTCACATTTGCTGGTGCATCTAAAGCGAGAAAGAAAAAATCTTAATGTCACTGTCAAGAGTTGTATGATGCTTTTTTCGGTTGTCAAACAAACAACGAAGCAGCATATTAAACTTACGGGTACGACCTGCGAGTTCTAAGTTAGCCTGAATCTCCATAATATTCCTAGCCTTAGTTTATGCCAAAGAATGGTGGAACTACTGCCGCTGAGGCTTCTGAATGACAAACTAGCCACATCAACTAGATATTGAAATGTTAAGAATGGATATCGACAGGCACGGTAACTGATGGGAAGCTCTCTTGAGCACATCAAAAAGTTCGAGACAGATCTGGTGAATGCATGTTACGGATGATGCCTTTCTTGTCAAAATAGTGCGCTCACTAGGGGACGTATTCAAGCTTCATGAGGTATGTGCGACCAAGATATCATAACAGTTTGCCCAGGCACGGGTGTGAATGCGATCTTAACCACAATTTAGCATACAGATAAAATTCACCGTAATCACGTTTCATGGACAGCATAAGAGAACTCATATGGAAATAGTTGTTCAAATGCTTGATGCTACCAAGAAATCAGGAAGATTTAGGATTTCCGGGCAAGATCTTGCTCGAATAGTATTAAACATATGTGTGATAATTGGGGCACAATATAGAAATTTCAAAGTCAAAACACAGTGTGGCGGAATAAGTTGTATACCGGCGTTTCCGTTGTCGCGGACACACTTTTGACTTAAAAATTTCGTGAAATCATGATTTCACAAATATACGACTTGGAGCCATGAAACCAACGGGTGCTAATATGATCCATCTACAGGGACTTCCAAAAGTACACACTTGACTGGTCTAGGTTACCCATACCAGAATCGACGAATTCCTGCTGTCACATAGACACTCAATGTAGTATGAAGTCAAGTATGTCTACATGGTTTAGGTGAAATCGTAGAATTTATTCCATTCATTCACGTATTCATGTGTTTGCTTGATGTTGTTATTTCTATAGCTGTATCCTTGACCAGGAATTCATCTGTAGTCGTGATCTGGAGTCAAATACACAGCCGTAGGAGCATTAGGTAAATAAGATGTATCCACCTGGCGAATTCCATATCTATAAATGTAGCATCGCCACCTTCCTCGTTGACGGAAGGCTTATAGAATATTAGTTCTATAAACCGCACACGGCAATTGCATGGTCGTTTACTACGATTATCAGTATATTACCTATTGAAATCAAGGCACTTTGAAAAGCTGAGGGCTCACTGCAGTTCAGACGCGCTTATCATTTGCAGCGGTACTGGAAGTCAGGATTTCATGCCCTACACTGTCATCGAGTTGAGCCAGTCCACACAGCCGAGTAAGTTAGAGTTTTAGGTGACTGGCTACTAATATTGTCCTGAAAAAACCATATTAACTGCTATCCTGCTGGTCATCTTAGTAGGTTAAAGCCTCGAGGTGGATAGCTGCAAACCTATAAGAAGACTAGATTTCTGGGAATCAAATAATTTTTGATGGGGAGAGGCCCAACTCAAAGATACTTTAGTTGCATCACCTGATTACCTAAAACTGGAACCGCGAGTATCACAACCCAAAGTTTAAGGTTGATAAGTATGGACAAGAACGATCAACAGAACCTGTTTCAAACGGACCCAAACATCACTGTGTTAAGATTCCAAGTTTGCGTGGGAACACGGGTTTGGATTTGCACTGTACAGAAACTCGCTTAAAGAATCCTTGGTCAACAAAACGGCATCAGTCCAAGTTCAGCTCACAAGAGGACATTCTGACATACTTGTGAGTGCGTATGCGCTCACATCATACCAGTGTGAAGATGAACGTGCGTATTTCCCAAGCAGACGTCAGAGGTTATTCGACCAGAACTCGTTAGTTACCAGGTTTTCTTAATGAAGCTATCTGATGCCCAAACCGATCGAGATTTGAATGGATCTAAGTAAAGCCATGGCATCTGCAGGAGTACCATATGGGTGATCCTCTAACCTAAAAAGAATTACAAACGCTGACCTTGAAAGTATCAGCAAACAACATCTCAGTAAATTAGAGTATTATTCACTGGTTCAGGGCTTTTAACAGAGACCTATAACGTGAGTTAAATAATCTAATCTGTCCACTACTGGAAGCTGATGATCTTTTAAGACGTTAAAGACCACCACAATGCAACTAATTCAAGGGGTTGGGATCGAATCGATCGAAATCTGACGGTTTGGATGGAGTCGTTTGATAAGGAAATGTGGTGTTCGAAGCCCAACTGATCCAATTTTCTGGGTGAAACAATACAAGGGAAACGGAGCGGACAAAACCAGTGAATCATTTTCGTCGAATTCACAAAAAGTTTGCTTCGGTTAACAAAAAAGTAATTTGGTTAGTTCCACGAGAGATGACCTGCGCAGATACATTTATCAATCTTGTTAAATCTTTTCCCTCTGGAATGAAGTCCAGCGTCTGAGTTAGTGGAACGGAGTCTTCAGATTCAAAGATTGCTTATTCTTTTATTGTCTATAGTTTCGTATGGCAGCGACATGTAAACAATTTATTGGTATCATGCGCGTGCTGATGTGCTTCCAGCGCTTCAAAGTGCTGCAAAATATCAATATATTTGTGTTTAGACAGCGAGTCTCATTTGTTTTCCCCAATGTGTGGCTAAATACGTGCTCACACGTCGCCATTTAATATATCAAACTTATGCTTTTTCCAAATCCTACTGTTTTGTTTCTTTGGGATGGGATAATAAAGAATTAGAGGCGGTAGCCCAACCGGCTATTGCTATTGAAGTGCGTTGGTGAAACAGCATATGAGAAGCCAAAGTTCTAATTGTTGAACGCAGATTTGGGCTGTTTGTCAATGCCATCAAACGGTGCTGCCTATTCATAAAGTTGTCTGACGAATCAGCACGCCGTCACTGTGATGCTTCCACCAGAAACGGGCAATGCTTTGGAGTTTGGATAGTTAAATACGAGGAGATTTCGCACGTATTCTGAGCGCATGTATCAGACGTGACTGACAAGGCATAACTGGTCCAACTGCCGCATTGCATGAACTAATATACCACTTGCTTCATGTATGCAGGAGGCTGGAAAAACCCCGGATCCAAGGTCCCCGTTGGCTTCTCAGCCAAACATACTTGTCTACCGAACCGATCGACTGGTCTACATACATGGTATTTTGGTCTTACCACACTGAGTGGCTCTAACAATGTAGGAAAGAAAGAAATTCCCAAGCGTGCGTGGAAGAAAATAATGTAAAACGTCCTGATATTCTAAGGATTCTATTATAATACAGTAACGTCCACGTGAAGATTTGTAGGCAAAGTCTACTGAAGCATTTTGATTTCCAACGTATCAGGGCTAAGCGCACATATTTTTTGTAGAATAGCAGCAACAAACTGAAGAAGAATCTGAAATCAGAGCAGTGTTGCACCGTCGCGCTGGATGTATTGAGATCAGGTAAATGTCTACCTGCCTTTACGAAGGTGAGCTCACAGTTAAGAATTGAGCTGAAATACTTGTGATTGCCAACCACCACCATGGTTTTTGGTGATCAATCGAAAAGACAGTACCTTTCGTTTAAAGAAAAACAAGTATTTCTGTTAAAATGAATTGCCATCTTTGAATACATACCCAAAATTTATGACCTCCCTAGATGTGTGAATAAAAACAAGGTGTGCTTTTAAATCCAAAGAAGCTGTGCTACTTGCAGCATTCAGCTTGCGGAATCGATTCCATTTCCTAAAGATTTGCATTTTTATCCTCGCAAATAACTCCCGTTTACCGGAATTTTGCTAGAAACTTTTCTGTAGTACCAATACCAGCAGACTGATCAACTAGTTTGCCATGTTAATTGGTAATTTCAAATGCACACAATACGCGGAAGATTCAGTTGAGGATCCAGTTAAAATCAATTTAGTTTGTAAATGTGTATCCCGCCAGATTGGTCCAAACCTAAGGTCTTGCTAGTTTAGTTTGGTTCTTCTTCTCCTAAGGACCGTAGATATTACGTAAATCCAAATGCACATTCGCCACCTGTTTTCACTTGTGACACAGTTTTCGTTCATGGGTGACGTGTCTATAATTGGTGCAGACAATCTGTTGCTACATCATCCACTTGCAATTGAAGTGCCAGCATAAGACAGTGAATCAGTACAATCGTCCACAAATAAACACTTGATATCATCCAAGTAAAACTAAACAAATGCTTGATTGAAAATCAGGGGGGTTTAGTTAAAATATTCACACGCAGGGCGAAAGAAACGACTTCGTCAATGGGGAGGCTTTCTGGAAGTTCGACAATCGAAATCAGATGACTATAACATACCTGACTAGATTTCTTCCGAATTATCTGCGTTCACATCCACATCAATGTCACTTGAATGGCCGTTATCCTCTCTTGACTAAATTATTTTGATTATTTCACACTAAAGGGGGAAGCTTAGGATTTCAGTCCCTCCCTTAATACGGGCTCGCAGCGATGCCTGTGCTTGGGTAGTGCAGGGTTTTTAACTCCGAACATGGGGCGCCTGGCGGGCGTGTTCCGCTCACACACACTGGATGCACCCTAATTCTCACGTGTGAAAGGATCAAGCGACCTGAAGAACCGGTAAATTTTTACCCAGAGCTCCTTCTTATCAGTTATCAATTTTGTTTTTTAGATTTCGGAATTCAGCGCACATGAAAATCAACGTGCGAACGCATCTAAACCGAGACATTTGGAATATGCCTCTGGTAGGTTTATTGTTACATATGTCTTCCAATAATGTCCGTAACATTCTGACGATTATAGACAGCACGGTAATCACGTTTTCAACCAGCAACCTAAAATGTGTCCTCCAGCACTTCTTGTCAGATGGCCAACACCACTAGTAAGTACGCAGTAGGTCGATGCAAGATACAGAACAAGTGCGGTGCTAGCCGAATACCCTGTAATTTGGATGGCACTGGTAGTTACCCATACCAGATTGTTCCAACCATCTCTGTGTCAGTTTCGCTTACTTTATTATACGGATCAGTAAGCCCAGTCAGCTATCTATCTTGGATGTAAGTCCCAGGTGTACAACTAAATTGCACATGTCTGGATGGTCCGTTTGTCAAGTCGCCTACTTACCAGCTGACCACAGACTAGATGAGTGAAATGCTTTCACAGACATGGTACTTAGCAAACCAGCATGAAATTAAATATCATAGACGCTTGAGACTGAAATAATGTTCTATTAAAAAGTGAAGATAAAGACTCTAAGGGCAGTGATATTTTCCCGAAAATTTGTTGTTCGACTGAAAAATGCATTATATTCATTTAGGTCGAGTTTCAGACCACTCAGGATGCCTACTACAGTATTTCGATGCAACGGGAAGCTAACATTGACGGCTGTCGAACTAGTCAAGCATAATTTCTAATCTCAGTAGAGCTTTCCGTTCGAAGGCGCTTTCCGAATAAATTTATTCAGTTATAAGCCAGGTTAAAAGAGCACAGAAATGCTGTAAATCGAGACCCTCGGATGGGGTCCACTCTATACATTCTCGAAGGATACAGCTTTCGAAGCCATGACAGAAGCTGAGACATGCTTTTCTCACTGAAAGTCACATGACATACAGTCGAAATAGGATGAACTAAGGATGTTGTTTTTCGCTACAGTGTGATGCGGCTGTATATAGCTGGCATAGTGATGGGGACAGATGTCAGAAGATAGCATTTCCTAGGGCTGGTCAAACAGACGCACGATATGCTGTCAATGCACTATGGTAGCAAGCACTACAAGCATTACTATAAGTTGGTGTTCTATTGGTTGACGTTTGCTGGATGAATGTTCGTAGGTTGTCGTGATGGCTCACGGTTTGTTCAGCGTCAGTAATTCGCTTGACCACATGAACGATATCACCTTTTACTGACAGAAAACTAGCTAACTGGGCCGCCAAAGTGACTAATGAACGAGCTTACTTCGTCCATTTGTGTGCCAGTAAGTGGAAAATGATAGCAATAGAACCTTGGGAACTAAGACCACCTGATAAGCCTCAGGAAGGGCCAAAGCGGCTGTGGGCCGTCGAAGAATTTTCGACAACCCCTTGAGCGTTTTCTCCCGTCAAACAGTAGCAACATGATAGAAGACAGTTTAGGTGTTTTTAAAGCAGTTTAGAATTGACCACTTACATTTTACAAATATCTCAATGCTGGTTTGATGGGCGCTTCCGACAGGATGACCGGTTTCACAAATGAGTTTTGCTGCGTGGTAACGACGAGTTATTCTTGGAATTACCAGTGTATTAATCAGTTGATCCTTCTCCTTATTCAGCGTGTAATGAAGAGGTTGGACATCCTCAGATATTAAATCGCTCATGCCTTGGCTCATTTCATCAGCTGATTGAGAGCCAAGATGCTCAGCAGTCCTCAAGTAGGCCTCAACAGCACTGTATTCATTCATTCTGGCTCCTCCTCGTCCACCAAATCCAATAATACGACCAGTCTTTTGATCACCAACTTGAGCTGGCTGCAGTAGCCAACGCCAGAAAAGCCCACCAAACGGATTTCCAGGCGGGGAGGCAACACACACAGCTTTCAGCTCCTCACCTTCCAAATATTCATACTTGGTTTCCGGGCTGATAATGCGAGGTGGTCCAGGTGGAGCTGATACAAAAGGAAAGTGATCAGTGTAGTCTGGACAGACACTTTTGCAACAACTTTATAAGATACGAGAGAATAGCCAGGGGAATAACTAACACAAAATGCAGTTTAGGAAGGCTAAGGAGTGATAGCGAGGATGATGCTTTGTGTGAATATACGTACGTATGGGAGGGTATAAATCAAAGGGGTGAAGTTCACNCAGCAGTAGGGAAAGTAATTTCAGAATATCCATGTGAGGTGTCCGTACTGTTTTCGTGTTTCAATAGCTGGTATAAAGTGAGTAACTCTCCGAAAAAACTCAAGCATGCGTGAAATTAAGGCCATTGTCATTTTCTACGCTGCTACAGGGCCCAGCGTTTTGCCATTAAAATGAATGTATCTATGGCCCGCTTGGCTAATGCATTACAGATTTGTGTGACACAACAGAACTAGGAGTAAAGTCAGACTAAGTTACGTTTAGTGTTTTGGATCGAGAAGATTAGGGGCAAATGTCAAGGGATCAACGTTCAATCGAATTTATCCCAGTCCATCCTTCAGGTGTGCCGGTTGATTCGTCTGACTTTGAACGTCAGTTCCGCTGAGCATCACATAAAGTTACTGTGAAATACCTGAGAAGCTCAACAGCAAGGTTTGTTCACTACTGTCGTCCTTATCATGTTATACTGAAAATCAAACATCAGCGACAGGAACCTTTAGATGAACCCTGAATCTGTGTGACATATTTGCGTTTATAAAATATCCTTCCAGCGTTTTTTACTCCTGAATGCTTGTCTTCGTTTAACATGACCTGACACCAAACACAATGCTCGTTTAGGGGTAGGTGGGCAAGCAAGTAGAGCTTGCATACACGTTTGCTATTTCCAGTTGGTTGCATATGGTGAAAGCGAATCACAGTGCTCATCAGCCACTCATGGTCAACGATTCGAATGTTAAAGCACTGCTCGGATTCGAAACTCTCCGGGTTTTGCACACCTCCGAAGGTTCCAAACAGGGAGGAATCGACAGTGCGGTGCTTCTTGACTGTTTTCTAGACCGTTTTCACTAATGAAACCTCTACCGATTATTTTCAGCAGACTTTCGGTCGAACATTGTTTAGAGGGGGCAGTTGTTTAGGAAATCAGAGGTCTTGATCATTGCTATATCTTTCTTCTCAGTTTACAGAACACCATGCTTGCATAGAACAGTGTTAGGAGAGAAGGAAAGAAGAGTGCTGCAGAGTGATGCACTTCCGGTTGTTCCTGTTTGAAATGTATTTAGAGGGTATGCTATCGTCTCCAAACTGTGAAATGTTAGCCAACGCAGCATTGCGAGTACAAAGCTCGACGAGAATATGGTAAAATGCTAGTTCTCAAGAAAATGTGGTATAATAGTGTCATTTTATGCAAAGAAACTTACTATGAACTCGGATCACAACTTGGGTAGTGAGATTACGTTGCTGGATGTCATGATGTAGTTGGGTCGCTGCATTCGTCACACTGCAGGTCAGCTGATCACCGTCCTTGAGACCTGCTTTCAATAGACTTAGTCGCGACTCTTGTTTCTCAGTCTCTGTGTTTATGATGGGGTCTAGCTTAGCCCAGGGTCCTAAGGAATGAAGCGATCGGTAAAAGAGAGAGAAATATCAGTGAGCAATCATATAGAGTGCGGAGTTTCAGAGGATGGGAGTGATACCGGCAAAACTAAAGGAACTATGTCTTAATGTTGACCAGCTTTTTTATATACTGCATCTAGAAATGTGCATGTGTTGTGTGATGCATTATTCTCATTTATCCTCAGATCATTTTAGGCTAATTGGGCTTCCTCTGGTTACCCTGTTACTAGTAACCACATCAAGCTTTATCTCACATTTGGTATGAGGTGGTTGTTCCTGGAATAACGTGTCTCACAGACACGTGTCTATACATCCGCTGATGCATGGTCATTGAGTTGAATTAAGTTTCCACGGCTGAAACTAACGTTTACGTCTGAAAAAGTGCACATTTTCCAATAGATTTATGAAAGGGTTGAAGGGCCCTTTGCCAATTTGGTCTATGCAAGTTTACTTCACAATTCTAGTGAGATCCGTAGGAAACTTATTTACAGGATCGATGTCGAACCCAAAACTAATCCTAGTTAACGTATTGATATCATACAAAAAGGATTTGCAAATAAAAATATCTCAGCAACTGAGATACTGTTGGGCCCGTCGTCCGTTGCCTACTGCCTACTGAATCAAAATTCTTATGAAGAATTCTCGCGCATTTGAAACTCAGAAAGTCTTGCGACGGCTTATCGTGTAGCCACAATTGATGTACCACCATCTTGGGCAGTTTACCGTATGAATTTTGTATCCACGAGTCTGAAAAACGTCAAATGAATATAGATAGCATATTGACGAGACTGGTAGTCCTTGCCGGCTAGGTGGCTGGAGAAGTTATCTATCCCTTCAGCAGCGTGGTAACAAGTTTTAGCCGTTCAGCCAAGCGCATAAGTTTATACCAAACTCATCAACTCCTGAGACTGGTAAACCAACGTGTTTGCTACCAGAAGTGTTTTGGTTGAACTAAAATGTATGCAGTCACTTGGTTTTTACACTTTCTGGCACCTACTAAAGTGAGCAATAATTTTGCCCATAGAACTCGATGAGGTGTACAGTGACGTGTCCTCGTAACAACGCTTTTGTGAGCCGGAAACTAGTGTGACAAATTTAGTCGTCTGAATGTCTACGTCCAAGTGTACATAGTACAACATTTTGAAGTTTGTCGTTCAGTCAACACATAAGCATACATTTGTTCCGCCGCGAGGGGCAGAACATAACAAGAGTGAACCTCACTAAGGTAGTGAAAGGCCAACCCTAGTTTTGCACGCAAACGCGCCATACATTTCATCAACCGGGGGGAAGTAGCATAGAAACGTATTGTGAATCCGCATCTGACAAACCTGCAACCACACGTCATCGAGTTTCAATGGACTCCGTGACAGGTGATTAATTTAAAACTGGGGTGGAAAAGAAAGATCGATTTGTGTGGTATGCTCTCTCTAGCGGTCGGCACGCGGCAACGCGATGTTCGGCATATTGAAATATTTTTCATGTACGTGAGGCATTACAAAATTCCAACAACCCTCGCTTTTGGCATTAGTTTCTAGCACTGAAAACAACTTTTAACAGTTGTTGATGTAAATTGTTTCACGAAAGTGATGTAAAATGTGGTCGTGAACAAAAATAATGTTAAACCACCTTTGGTGCATCCAGATAATCCTATCCAGGCAGTTGAATATCCAGCTGAATATAGTGTATTTCCGTGTGTGTTTAAATAGTTGTCAAATTTGGCAATACGAGAGCATTAAGAATGCTCAGATGATTTTACTTGTTTTCCAATTTGTTAAAATGCCCTTGTTATATAAAACCAAGGACTGGACACGGAAAGTTGGCGGCCTCACCCCGCAGCTATGCAGAATATTTACTGCTGACTTGGAAATCACGACGGTCGTAAACACGTTTGAGGACTTTTGTTTAAAATGTACTATATAATCGTTTGTAATATGCTCGTCCTAGACGGTGTTTGGAGAGAGTAGATATGAATACACATAGCTTAAGCAGAATTTAGCATGTGCTTTATACTGATCCCTTTGTTTCAGCTTGTTTCTCCAACTCTCTTCCAAACACAGTTGTCTTTGTCGCGAGAAATGCGCACCCTGCAAAGTATACAGTCCTCAATGTGGTAACTTTCTTGTGCCCTCAGAAACAAAGACAAAACGAACAACCCAGTTTCTATGCTATTATCTGTGATTCATATGGGTGTGATTCGTGTCAGTCACCCGTGACCTGTTGACCCAGACATTGTCACCTTTTTTAAAAGTATATATGCCCACAAACTTCGCGAAATCTTTGCACGTCATTTCTGATATCATAACAATTGCAATACATTAGCCAAGGAGACCAGTGACAGGAAAGTCTTGTTCGCTACCTTCTTTCTTGTCAAAAGAAAATTTTGAACATTTTGCCCACCTGTGATGCTTCTAATGCTATGTAATGGATGTGGCTGGTTAAAAAGCAGATCTTTTTTCACTTTTCCCGCACGATTCTTGGGCGTCTTCATTAGGATCATCATTAAGGTGACGGAAATTCAACGATCGTCATCTATATTCTGGCCCATTTTCGGTGCGAGTGTCGGTAGTTGCGCTCATTGCCAAGATTGTTCGCCTTATTTCTGACCGCACTGAAGATGTCTTGGTGAGCGATTCGCACGTCCGCAATGATGAGTTGAAGCTGCGTGCACTTCACGGTCCTGTCCTTTAACTGATAAAAACTGCAGAGCAGAGCCGGCTTATCTTCCCCCTGTGGTTGTAACTGCACTTTGAAACATCCTGTCTTTCATTTGTGGTAACAATATGGAACTGCTGAGTTTTCTTCACAAGATGGCTTCCAGGATTAGGTCCACATCACTAGCAAATAAGTCGACGAGTTCGCGGCGGATCAAATGCCAAAATTTGCAGTGAAGATGGAGCTCTACTTCGCTGAACTGTCACTGTAAGCAGTAACTTAGAAAGTGTTTTGCTTGTTTGTTTGTCCACTGTTTTCTCCATGAGCCCCGGCAACTCTAACCAGCCAAAAAATTGCAGAGTGCTTTTGTCAATGAATTTGACTTCATCCAGGGTTTGATGAAAACCTGCGGACAGTCATCCCGATTTCCAGAGGCCCAAAATATAAGAGCCGACGTGGGCCATAGCTGGATGGATGAATCTTCCGAAATGGTGGAGACCGTAACTTATACTCACGGAACAGACTTGCTGCATCGAAGTTTTATTATCCCTTCCCACTAGGCTTGTGGATGATATCTGTCGTATACATGTAGCCATTGCTGCAGAAGCATTTTGTCTCTTAGAGCCTAGTGTACTGCGTCGGTCGTATATTACACATTTGTGTAAGGTTACAAGATCCATTGACTAGTCACGTCACCAGAAACATTGTAATCCCTGCTAATTTTTCTAACTTCCATGGTAGTAGATGTAGTCTTACAGGG